GGGATCGATACGTACCGGTCCGACCATATCACCATCACCAACTGGATATACCAAGGCGGAGATGATGCAGTGGCTTTTAAGGGAAATTCTACGAACATCCATGTGGAGAATGTCACGGTTTACGGCGGGCCGGGTATTGCTTTTGGTTCGCTGGGACAATACCCCGACCGGACGGATATTGTGGAGAATGTGACGGTTCGGAATGTCCAAGTAAGCGAAACCTAGCTATGATGGTGAGATTCGCATTGACAAGGATAGGTACAACCGTCCTTTCAACGGGCGATGAATTCCGGGGTCTACTTCAAAAGCTGGTAGGTGCCACGTCCCCCAATGCGATAGGTAACTGACCAGTCAGGATTGGGGTCAACTATGGCAATCCTCCAAATGGTGGTGGAGGCGGCCATGGATACGTGCGCAACGTGACAGTCGAGAACCTTCGACTCAAGGATGTCCAATTACCTGTGTATATTGACACCTGGTAAGAGCAATGCCACTGTGTTTAGAATACTCGGCTAACCCAGGCAGTCTGAGCTACCTCTTCAGCGAAAACATCACGCAGTACTGTGACACGTCGACGTATGAATTCAATGATCTACATTTCAAGAACATTAGCGGAAATGGACTTGCAACGGTGACGGATTATCCTGGGAAGAACATCAGCTTCGCCGTGTCTTTGCTTTGTTCCGAAAAGGCACCGTGTACGGACCTCACCTTCCGGGACATCAACATCAAGCTTCCCGCGAACTATACTGGCAAAGATATACTGTGCGAGAATGCAGAGGTGCAGGGCCTCCGATGCAATACATAATTGGAAGAATGGAGACACATCGTGTGTGATAATTGAAGTCAGATGCATGTCTCAAGGTTGTTCGCTTGCTGTTGATAAGGATGTGTATGGGGGCAATTCTCCACTTGTCGACATCAAACCAGCAAGCTACAGATGTTTCCCTGTCATCCTTTTGGGGATGGAACTTCATTCGCATCGAGTTCCATTAGATAATCGTGGCGCAGGGGTTGGTCCGGGGGGGGGGGGGTTAGGTATAGTGGTAGTATTCTTCCTTTGATCCGATAAGGTTGAATTCTAATTGTCGGATGTTCTTGTACCCAATAAGAGCTTTTAAAATCCAATCTAGGTTTATATTATTAAGAGTTCCATCTGCCGAGTTGTCTAACCTGGTCGACGGTTCCATGAGCACCATGGGATAATGGGCCAAGACTGGATTGTAGGACGATCGGAGCGTCCAGACTGCTGCTATTGGATCCACGCCATCGTAGAGGCGCGGGCATGCCCTTAAATTGACTTCGTAGTCGTTTCCGATGAGGAAATTGTGCGAGACTGACTGGCAAGCCTAGAAGGGTCGTGCACGTCAGAGGCAGGCATTAAGGTTTCCGCAACCCGCATGAACCAAGCTTCCACTCGCAGCCCTCGGAGGCACCTCTCTCAGGATAAACCCTTCACGCCTGTCCAACTCTTCTCTCCTGTCTTCTCTGAATGACGCTTTGGCCTCGGTACTGCGCAGGAAAGTCTGGCAGGAATGGAGGTCTCGGCACAGTTGCAGCCACTCGGCCAGTTTTAGAACCTCCGTCGGCACCTCTTCTCCTTTCATTCCTCTGAAGGCCTTATATGGTCGCTTTTGACACCAGCACCGCGTTCGGTATGAGATTCTTTGGCCGATGCGACCGACATCGGGACTAGAATGTCGCAGGACGTCGGTATCGACGCACATGGCGGCGATTTCTCATCGCTCACCTCAAAAGACCCGATCCAGAAATATGTCATCTCCGCCTTTGCGGCCATTACCTTCTACAATTCGATAGAGCTCGTGGTGCTTTGTTTCACGACTTTCAACAGATATCATGGGTGTTATTTCTGGAGTTTACTCGTCACCTCGGCGAGCCTCATCCCCCACTGCGTGGGATACTTGCTCTTTATCTTCTCGTCCATTTCTCCTTATGTGCCTGTGTCCTTGATTATCCCTACCTGGATTACCATAGTTACTGGTCATTCCCTCGTCCTTTGGTCGCGATTGCACCTCCTTGTACAATCGCAGAAGTTGCTTCAGGGCCTCCTGTACATGATTATCATCGACTGCATCGTCTTCCAAATCCCAACAACAGTCCTGCTGTATGGGTCACTATCAGATACACCCCACTTCGCCAGGGGTTACGACATTATGGAGCGGATCCAGCTCGTCGCCTTTTGCGTCCAAGAGTTCATCCTTTCCGGTATTTATGTGTGGGAAACCATCAAGATGCTGCGCCTTCGTCCCGAGAGGCCACGGTTCATTATCCTCACTCAATTGCTTGTGATCAATGTACTCATCCTCATTCTGGACGTGGCAGTCGTCGCCATTGAGTACGCCGGGTATTATGCGCTGCAGGTTATGTTTAAACCTGTCGCGTATAGCGTCAAGCTCAAGTTGGAATATGCTATCCTGGGCCGGCTGGTTCAGATTGCTCAAGGAGCCAGTTCCGATCCGGATCCATTATCACCAGGCTCTCGCGGATTCAATATCACGGCATCTGGGTTTGACGATTCGGGTAGTAATAATGGAGGTGTCACAGTCGTCCGACAGGTAAATTCGGGACCGTTGGTCAGGCGATGGTCTGGACAGACTCATGAGAGCGTCGGTTATTGTTAGGAAGGTCCCAGCTCGATGTGTTGATCAAGTCGCTGACTCGCTGGGACCAGTTCGAAAACACCCCTCGGAAGTCCACAAGCCGATTTGTTGATTGGAACTAGTCACATGAGATGGCTTATGATGGATGGACTCACGGCATCAACCATCGCAGCACTGATAATGCCCGAGAATTGCTTCAATTTATACACAGCCGCTTGACGCGACGGTCCAATCCCGACTCCGGTGTTATACGCTCCCCAACTTCTCATAAAGTTCAAGTGGATGGTTCCCCACAATAATACTCGAGATATCTCGCTTCTGAGGTTGTGAAGGGTCAGCGGGGTGCTAGAACGCATATACGGCATAAACATGTTGGGACGAAAACAGGCCATACTTTCAACTAGAAACTCATCATAGAACATAATAGAATAAAAAGGAAGAAACTCTATCTCTGGGATGTCTTTGAATGATGGTCCCTTTTGAACACTTTGGTGTAGTAGTCATACGAAAGCTTCAAGCATTCGCACCTTTGTCTATCTGGATAGCAGGGGTGGGTGTCTCAGCTATTCCCAAACACGGCACTAACCAATTTCCCCAAGCCATTAGTCATGAATGCAGCCTTCGTGCCTGGCAAGGTTTAGGAGTAAACGTTGCAGCATTCCAGGGCTTTCGAGAAGGACATTACCACGCTACATGGCTGTCCACTCCTGCTTTACGTCTTCCACCAATGCAACGTTGTTCTGTTCTCGCGGTCGTGATCAAGGTATGGCGTTCAGTCAAGGTTCCAAAACTATCACTCTAACTTCCAATCATAGTTGACAACATGCCTTCCCACCTCGCACCTTGTTTCTTACCATTTACTCGAGAATCTCTAATCGCGCCTCTAAAGCCATGTGTAGCCAGCTCCAATTTCAAGCGTTACGGTGAAGCACCACGGCCTGCTGTCGAGGTATGTCCGGACTGGGATTATTGGGGTAGGTGGAATAAGTATTGGAGGTCATTGTTAGACTTAATCTAAGTTTTGCAGATGCCCCGCAATTACGATCGGTGGGTCCATTGTCTCTCGAGCCCATTTATTGCTTTAACAGACAAGTGCCTAATATGCCGCCTACTATATACTAGCAGACTTATGCCATGTCGATCTACCGCATGATAGTTTCAATAGGTTTGGTGCTATGACTTTCCCAAAGTATCAGCTCCCGCTCTGCCCTTACAACGCCCTCACAAAGTACGCCATTTGCAGGATAGTGCATATGGAACTAAATGGCAGGTTTTTAAGTCTCACAACTCCTGGTAGCTGGCACGTTAGCCGGATGCGGCCCGTGGGGCAAAATCATGAATGGCCCAATAACAAGCCTCACAACCATCTTTTGCTCTGTCAACTGAAGTATGACGGCCTACGTTGGGTTTCACTACAGGCAACATTCCTTTGTCTCCGAGTCTCCAATGCCTCCAGACAAATAGCTATGGAATGGAACACAAATGCATGATCCAAGGCCTCTGCGAATCAAAACGAAGACCCAGAGCCTGATGCATGGCCTAAGCACTATAGGAGATGATGTCTTACTAACATCTGAATAATTGATATTTCATCTCCAACTCGTGTCGTCTGTCCAGTCTAGGATGGCTCATGGCGCAAACTGTTCCCAAGTTTCTGACGCATCTGGAATTGAACGATTGCGGAAGTGCTTCCGCAAGCATGCTATATCTTCAACATTATACCCTGCGGACAAGTCCGACATCCAACGAATCACCCAAGTATTGCTGAATGACATCTTTGCGTAACTCCCTCATAAGGAAATCATGGCTCTAATGGCTCTGCATAGACGTGGTTTGACTTCCTATCCCGGGTGCTCGGAGAGAAAGAGCTATGTCTGTGTATAACCACAAGGTCATTGACAGCCTAATGCAGGCTTTCGCTTCATTATCTGGCTCATGTCTAGACAATGAAGGACGTCACCTGAGGAGTGATGATGCTTTGACATCTTCCCTTTCCTGTGGTCTATAGGTGTATTCGGAGGTCTAGACGTATCTTCAACTCGTACCAATACGCATCGAGCTTCATCTGAGTTTGGCTGGAGATGTTTTAATGCAGTTTGGCATTAGGCCTACCACATCACAGAGTGTTTGTTGGAGAGTCTTGACGCAAGATGATATCTATGCTTCTTACTCTCAGTCTTCGCATTGCCACCAAGTACTAAACTAGAGTCTGTTCAATATCAAACCCCACCGAAGCCTATATAAGGGTGTAAGATCTCCTTTGGACTACCCTTGTTCGTCTTTCCAACTCTCATACTTCCAATTATCTATGTGATTACCTCTTATTACAATCCAACCAGCTCCTAAGCCTTTGTGCTCAACATCCACATCTCAATCACCATGAATACCTTCGGCTTACATGCAGACGGACCCTTTGGTGGGATGGGCGGCAGTTCCTACGATGCCAGAGATCGTGAAGAGAAAGTCAAGCATGTTGATTTATGGACCGCAAATTACGGGGACCGCAACTACGAAGTTATTGGAGCGTTCAATCTAGGATTCCAAGACGGTTATTCGACCGGTAGAATCGGCGGAAGAAATAACGCCGTCCCACTTAACGGACCATATTCATATACTTTTGCGGATGATGAGACAATAAATCATATGTGGGTCAATGCTGGAGACGGAGAAGGCTTCGTCAACGGACTCGGATTCAAAACCAATAAAAATTCCGAAGGTTTCAATGTTGGTGGACATGAGGGTCACGAAACTGAACTGACAGGTTCTGATCTTGGTGCGAATGGCGAATGGGCCGGAGCTACAGGCAGAGACAACATACACGGTGCTGATGCCGTTGTGGACAACATGATTCTTTATTTCAAGGAGTGATGATGGGACTTGATTACTGTTACTTGGTTCGCGTCGTTTCGGTTTCAAATTGGGACTGTGCAGTGTGCACTACCTATCTAATTATTCCTCTTGGGACATTGCAGGTATTGTCTCATGCGCCAGCAACAAACATGGTGGAACTCGTGTCTGTGCCATCTTTAAATAATCATTGATGTAAAGGAAAGTGTTGGTTAGTTGACTTCATCGCACAAGATGCCTTGGTATGGGTTTTTGCCGGAGTCATCCGTTTTCCCCATACTGTCGTGCGAATGCAGAGGCAACTGAGATAGTATAATAATGTAATATTCGTTGCTCTGATACAATGGATCTTATACTTCACATAGTAGCCTTATATTTATCTTCGACATGTTTTATTCACAATAAACTGTAGAAAATGAAATTCTAAGGCTCTTCAATAATTGTCGCGAGCTTCAAAACATCTCTGAATGGATACAATATGCGCCCTACACAGAGGCGAATATTGAAAAAAGCAAAAAGATATGACAAGAGTGGGATTCGAACCCACGCCCCTTTCGAGACTAGGAATGCTCCGAAGAACATGGAAGATCAGATACACCTGACCCTAGCGCCTTAGACCGCTCGGCCATCTTGCCCGTTTTGTTATAGGTTGCTCAGCATTTTAGCATCATCACTGGCTTAAGCCAGCTTTGCGAACGGGGGTCGGTTTCCATTTTCCGCGTAGGTAAAAGTGCACGGATATTTTGCTTTGCACTGAGCTTGCAACATATTGAAGGAGCTAGGGAGGTAACATAACTATGGAACTTCGTTTGAGCTAGGGAACATTACAATTTCGATGGCTGCGGAAGATGGTTCTGGGGGTTTGGCTGATACCAACTACCGTTGCCAACTACATATATTTCCCGCTACTGCAGGTTTCTCAATATCATCCGTCATAAATACTCAATTATTAACACTAAAAGGGGCAGCTTTCCTACCCGTGAACTTAACCAAGCACTACTTGTTCAAATTTACAGTCCATCATAACTTACGACGAACCTATTAATACTTGGTTATGATTATTGACAGCTGCTCATTCTCCCTCCAATCTTCCACACGAACAGTTCAGACGCCTTCGCCCTTCTTCCGCGGATACTGCCAGGTCCAATTCCGAATATAATCCGGATCAATGCCATCATCGTATGCTTTCTGCTTCGCCAGCAACTGCATGTTCAGGAATCTCTCCCTCACACCGGATGCCGTATTGCCCAGTCCGCGGGCATGATCGATCGCATCGACAGCCAAACTATACCGATCCGTCTGGTTCCTCACCGCCAGCTCAAATGGCGTATCGATGTTCCCCTTCTCCTTGTAACCTCTGACATGGATGTTCTCCTGTCCGGGTCTCTTATACGTCAACCGATGGATAAGCCACGGGTACGAATGGAAGTTAAACACGATCGGCCTATCGGCTGTGAAAATAGCCTTCCATTCCCGATCGGACATTCCGTGCGGGTGATGTATCTTGGACATGAGTTTGAACAGATCGACCACGTTGACGAAGCGCACTTTCAGCTGGGGGAGGTGCTCGCGCAGCAGCGCTGTGGCGGCTAGTGCCTCGTGGGTGGGAACGTCGCCGCATGCGGCCATCACGACGTCTGGTTCCGCACCTTGGTCGTTACTGGCCCAGTCCCAGATCCCGACGCCCTTGGAGCAGTGGGCGATTGCGGCGTCCATGTCCATGAATTGAATGTGGTCTTGTTTGTCGGCGACAATGACGTTGACGTAGTTGGCGCTGCGGAAGCAGTGGTCCATTACGGAGAGGAGGGAGTTCCCGTCCGGCGGCAGATAGATGCGTACGACTTCGGGAGACTTGTTGGCCACGACGTCGAGGAAGCCTGGGTCTTGGTGCGTGAAGCCGTTATGGTCTTGGCGCCAGACGGTCGCGGTGAGGAGGATGTTCAGCGAGGCGACTTTGGCGCGCCATTCAACTTCCAGACATTTTTCGATCCATTTGCAGTGTTGGTTCACCATTGAATCGATGATGTGGATGAAGGGCTCGTAGCTGTTAAGGAGCCCATGACGGCCCGAGAGGACGTATCCTTCTAGCCAACCTTCACAGGTGTGTTCACTGAGCATTTCCATTACTCGACCGGCCATAGAGAGGTTTCCGCCGTTGGAATCTTCGGGAAAGTATTCGGCCAGCCAGACCTTTTTTCCGGCTTTGTATATTTCGGACAGTTTGTTTGATTCGGTTTCGTCCGGCCCGAAGACACGAAAGTTGGTCTGATTGAAGGCGACCACATCACGGAGGTAATGTGACATGTTGACCATGCTGCCGCGGATGGTGGCTCCGGGATCAATGGACGTGAGTGCGTACTTGCGAAAGTCGGGTAGGTCCAACGGTCGCCGTAGGAGACCACCGTTGCCCACCGGGTTGGCACTCATACGGTAATTACCAGTTGGAGCGAGGGCCTTGAGTTCAGAGATCAGGCGGCCTTCTCGAGTGAAGAGCTCTTCGGGTCTGTAGCTCTTCATCCACGATTCGAGAAGTTGGAGATGTGAAGGATTGGTGAGGACGTCGGTAATAGGGATTTGGTGGGCACGCCAGAAGCCCTCGAGAAGTTTGCCATCAACTTCGCGCGGGGCGGACCAACCCTTTGGGCTGCGCAGAATGATCATGGGCCAGTGTGGGCGGAAAGGTTCCTTGGACTCGCGGGCTTTCTTCTGGAATTTTCTGATTTCAAGAACACAGTGCTCGAGTGTGGCTGCCATAGCTTGATGCATGGTTTCGCGATCGCTGCCTTCCACAAAGTAGGGGGTCCAGCCGTAACCCTTCATGAGAGCAGAGAGCTCATCATGGGAGATACGTGCGAGGAGTGTCGGATTGTTAATCTTGTACCCGTTGAGATGGAGCACGGGTAAAACGGCTCCGTCGGTGCAAGGGTTGAGGTACTTGGTACTGTGCCAGCTTGTAGCGAGTGGGCCAGTCTCAGCTTCACCATCGCCCACCATGGTCAAGGTGATCAAATTCGGATGATCGAACACGGTGCCAAAGGCATGCGAAATGGAATAACCCAGCTCGCCACCTTCGTGAAGACTACCGGGGGTTTCTGGGGTAGCGTGACTGCCGATACCGCCGGGGAAAGAGAATTGCTTGAAGAACCTTTGCATTCCTCGCTCGTCTTCCGACTTGTCGGGATAGACTTCAGAGTAGACCCCCTCCAGGTATGACTGAGAGAGAATACCAGGGGCACCATGGCCCGGACCTGAGATGAAGAGAACGTCCAGATCATACTTCTTGATCAGCCGGTTCATGTGAATCCAGGTGAATGATTGTCCTGCATCTGAGCCCCAGTGACCGAGTAGGCGTGCCTTGAGATGCTCCACCTTCAATGGCTGTTTGAGGAGCACATTGTCGCGCAGGTAGAGCATGCCTAGGCATAGGTACATGCTGGCACGAAAGTAGGCGTCCATCTTCCGGACTTCCTCAGGGTCAAGGTTCTGGCCCTTGACCGTGGAGCGAGCAGCTCCATAAGCGGAGATGCTCTGATCGTTCGAATCTGATGGCATGTTGTATAAGTGTTACGCTTGGTAAAAGTACCCTTTAGTTGAGAAGAGATCTGTGATGCCGGTCAGCTCCTATTTAAGACGGATATCTGGATGGCTGGAACTGGCCATTGTTGATGTGGGCTGACATGCCAATGGGCTCTATGCTCGTAATTCCCGGATGGCAACCTGGCAAAGGCCATGTAGTAACCAGTCCATGACGCTGGCTTCCGTCACCCTCCGCGCCTGCTGCGTCACTGGATGAGATGATGTATGTTAATTGGTTCGGATGGTCTCTACCGGAGTTGTGGAACGCTAGTCCTGTTCCGGGGCTGACATCTCTCCCCGGGCCGTTTGTGTGGGCCGACACCTTATCTTATGGGCTGATGTTCACCTTTTATCCCGGGGTTTGGCGGTAGGTGCTGAAGTATAGGTTGGAAGAACTTTGGATGTGAAACGCCAGCCCTGATTTCACCTGTGTTATTTGGCACCAAGCTCACCAAGCTCTCTTACATTGTTACTTGGGCAGGCCAAATCGGACGTCAGCTGACGGTGAATGTTATGCTAGCAACATGGATCACACATTACTAAGTATCTACAAGCCAGGGTTTTTCAAAGCAATGATCACAAGTTGATGCTATCAAGGAAAGGTACAGCAAAGTACCGAAGGCATATCAGCACCAGAGAAAGTGCATGTTCAACCCAATACATCATCTCTGCTACCTTATCATGTACCACATCTATCAATCTCAATACTCAAAAGTTTCACCAACGATATCTTCAGTCAACTTCCACAGTCGTTCTGCCTCGATCTGATCCCGGGCCCAGCTGCGCACCTCCTCTGGCTTAACCACTGCACAGTCCTGAACAAAGCTTCCATTATTCTCTGCCAGACTTGATTAGCTTAAAAGAATGACCGGCACATAGGGAATACTTACCGTTGGCGGAGATAGATGAATGAAATGCGGCAAATACATGCGTCGCCACACCTTGCGACATAGACTTCCAGGTTATCTCTCTTTGCCCACTCCGGAAGTACCCGAGCACTGTGAACCATTTCGCTGGAGTAATGTGAGCAAGCACTCGCACAGAAGAATACTCAAGTGACCTTACCGAGTGATTCATACATCTCATTCCAGTCTCCTCTCATCAGATTCGTGTTAATAGTACCAGGATGTAGGCTGACTGAGGTTAGGCCTTTGCTCCCCAGCTTTTGTGCTAGAGACACAGAGAAGAGCATGTTGGCCGACTTGCTTTGGCCGTAGGCTAGCCAGGGGTCATAGTTTTTGCCTTCCTGATATAGCCATCAGCTCATTATCTCGACATTTGGAGAAGGAGGGGCATGGCATGATAACTTACGTCAAAGTTCCAGTCATGGAACCTGACTGAACTCAGCAGGTGGCCGTTGCTAGACACATTCACAACTCGGCAAGACTTTCCAGGAACCACTAGCTTTTTCATGATCAAATTGGTGAACAGAAAATGCCCGACGTGATTGGTGGCAAATTGACTCTCGATCCCATCATCCGTTAGCGACAACGGTGATGCCATGACACCAGCGTTGTTGACCAAGACATCTATATCCTCCTTGTATGTCAGAACTTCCTTAGCGGCGATTCGGACTTGGGCCTGAGAGCGCAGATCTAGTTCAAGTAGACGGGTGGGTACTCCTGGCGCAATGACTGCGATCTCCTGGGCTGTCTGCTGAGCTTTGACGATATCGCGGCTAGCAAGAATAAGGAGGGAAGGGCCGTGAATGGCAATAACCTTTGCAAACTCGGCACCAAGTCCACCTGGGCTAACGCCAGTCACGAGCACAGTCTTGTTGGCAATGGCATTCTGGCAATCCTGTGCTACCTGTTCTGCTGAAGTTTGAGAGGAATATGAAGACATGATGATGAGAAGCGGTCTGCGAGGCTTGATACTCAAGTAATTTTAACACTTTCGAAGGATATTTGCAGATTGGTGAAGTTGAGATGAAGGTGAGATGAAGATGAAGATGAGGAAGATAGAACAGAAGTGCTGTATGTGGGAAACGATCATAGTATATATAGGGCCCTGATTGAAAGATGCGTGCAGCCTCCTTAAACTTATTTCCGAGATAGTCAAGGACTTCAAGTATATTTGAGCCCAATTCGTATACATTCTGGTCATCAATTCGACCCATTTTGCTCGTTATGTTGGCTCAATTAGTAGATTTCCTATTTGGGCCGAATTAATCTAAGACTGGTAACCCGATTGGGTTAGTGTCTGAGGCTGGCGATGACGGAGATAACGGAGCAACGCTAAGCCCGGCCGCTTTCAACAGGATTACTATCCCATATGACCCTTGACTTCACTTCATCGCATTTCCTTCGTGTATACCGCATCCAGGTCCATCTAGTACCTTACTTCTATTCTCGATGGATAATATTCCGAGTGAGGTGGTATTCTCAACGGGGCCATTGCCATCCGAATCGGTGGTGTTTGAGTATACCAATGGTCCCCTCAAGATATCTCCACCAAAGAGGAGAGGGCGTCCCGCAGGATGTTAGTACACAAACCCATCTAGAAATAGAATATCAGCATGGGCTGACCAAAGTTAGCGAGAAAGAAGAAGCAACACCTTGAGGGGTCCCGGCGTCGCCCCGCCGCCGCTTCCAACTTTAAGTTCATCAACCTCGGGCCCACGTTGGCCCCAATTGATGAAGAAGAGCGCACCACCATCAGAAGCCACACAATGATTAACCGTAGTCGTCAGGATCAGAGGAAAGCCGAGATTACTCCTGGCGTTACTAGCCTCGAGCTGTCTCGCCTGACCCACATCCACATTCCACATGCATATCCGCAGAAGAACCAGACTGATCCTTTCGACACGCTGCCTATTACCATGGAGCCATACATGCTCGATCTCTTTGCGTTTTGTGAGTGAGAAAGATGATATTCCATTTTCCTGTGCACGCTTAGCTAATTAAGTACTCTCTAAGACAAAAATCGTGCATCGGAGACACTCTACTCAATCGAAAAGAGAGCTGGCTGCAATCCAATAGACGAATATTGGGTTCCAATGCTGTTTCAAGATTCAGCAATGCTCCATGTCGTACTGGCGTGTGGATCATTGTTTACAATGGACTTGCAACGCTTTCGAGCAAGCCCGGCTTTTATATGGCATATCAGTCGAGCTATGAGCATTGTTCGAAAGAGACTCGTAAATTCGGTGGATCCGCCTTCGGATGAAACAATTGTTGCTGTTGCCAGCATTGCTATTGCAAAAGTTGGTAGATGCCGTACGAACTGGGCGGATATGCAGGCTAACCTTTTCACAGAAAGCAGCGGGCCAGCATGATCAATGGGAAGTTGACATGAGGATCCTGAAAGCGTTAATTGACATGCGAGGAGGTTTAGACGCACTGAACGACAAGCCCATGGTACAAGGAAAAATATACAGGTAACTCGATTCCATTCTCATGGTTATGATATTTTCTTACCTGACTTTTAGGGCCGATATCAGTGGATCCTTAGATGGTGGACGAAAGCCCATTTTTAGTGATCGGTTCCAACAATCCCCAATCCCGAATCCTCACGACTACCATTTAGCACAAGGTTTCCAAGAGCTGGATCGCCTGCTGCACATAGATAGTGCACTGAAAGCAGTGATCCATGATATGGAATCCTTAGTCGAGGAGTTCTCCAGTATTACAAAGAGTAGCGGCCAAACCGTCGTTGCGAGGATCCGGTTCTGGCTGACGTCAATCCAGTATGCACTTCTTTCAATGCAATATGGAGACGATTGTCCCAGAACGCAAGCCCAGGAGGTCTGTCGACTGAGCCTCTTATTACTGATGAACGCGGTGTTTCATGAGTCTCCTCCTGGTGCATCGACTAGCGATGTGCTTATCTCACAGCTGCGGCAGTTCCTGGAGAATGCTGAAGTATTATACTGGCTTCCGCCCACCTTTCATCTTTGGACCCTGTACCTTGCTGCTTGCAATGTTGCATCTCCCACAATAAGAGCTTGGTCGATTGAAGCTATCGCAGAACTGGTGCTGCAAATAGGCATATCAGATGAAGAAGAGTTTAGTCAGCAACTCACGTTGTTCCCATTTGACCCGCTTACACTTCATGTTACCTGTCCAACCATATGGGATGATGTACAATATTTCGTTCAGACTCAGACAGCGCGTCCATAACCCCCTTAAAAAACAAAGCCATAGTGGAACGGAAGGCAAGATTTTTCAAAATCCTCCCTGCGGACCCATAAGGAAGGCATGAACTTTTCCGAAAACTTACCTCGTTTGTTGATATCTCTAGTACGACTATGTCTGAGCTCGAGCAAGCGTAATCCAGTGAATTGGATCGCTATGGGCTTCCGCACCTACCTAAGCTGTTGTCGTAAATGACTCTGTGAAGTATGGTCAATCAGACGAACAGAGGTCTTCCATGCCATAGGCCAGTAACATGGAAGATTCACGATCCAAATTTTGAAAGTCCACGCAGTCTAAGGACACCATATCCCAACGAAAGAATTCTGAGGCGAGCACTAGTTACTGGCATCCCCACCCCGCGAATGTAAAGTACCACTACCTTCCACGAATATATCTTTACCCATCTATTAGAGGCACGGAAGGCGCCCGAGTGATGCCAAAATCTACGGGTTTCTGCGTAGCTACAAGAGGTAACCTCCGATAGATGAGCTTGCCTCTGCAGCAGTTTGCAATTCTGGGGGAGGTAAGATCCGGGGCAGGAGTCAGTACGAGACTAACAATGTCAATAAAGAGGGCAAATTCCGCGGCATTTATAGTTAGAACAAGTATATAAGGCAGGTGGAGGCCCCCTCGAGCTGGCTTGAATCAATCAGCTCTCGCTCACGTCTCTACCGGTAGAGTTAGGGGGAGGGCCACTCGTACCTGCCCCCATTCTACTGCTTATACTACGTCCCAATATATAATGCATGTATAACGCAGAGACCATGACTACAATGGCCGAAGTGGAGGATCTTTGGTATATCGAGACGTGTCCCGTCCATCATGCTGCGCTCAGATCCCCCTGCAGTGGTAAAATGATGATGGTGCCGTATAAGAAAGGCATCCAGAGAGTCAAGTGTCTCTGAAACCCAGCAATATAAAGAAGGACGGTAGTTACTATGTCTACCAGTCCAACAGAAATCGAGTTCTCATGCTACTCAGCCAGGACATATACTACCCGCGTAAACGACAACTACTGCAGCCTGAAGACAGCAATATCAAGAGTGCCGTGCAATTGGTCCTCCAAGTTATTTTGGGCTTGCCAGAGACAGTTACTAGACTGTCTTAAAATGGGTGACTCTGTGCGTGGAAGAATATCTCACCAATGATACCTCTACAAACACCTTCCATGGTGGCGGCTGAGGTCAATTAATGGATGGTCAATTCCGGGATAAGTTAACCCCATATAGCGACAAGCGAAACGATACAGTTATTTTGTCCGGGTGATTACTTACATGCCACATCTCCCGGCAATGTGAGTAGTGCCGTCTGGTCTGGAGAAGGCGAAGCTCTACACCCTAAGCATTATATATAACGGGATATCTACGTTTACAGCAAAGCACACCACACAGCCACGAGGGAGATTGCGAGGATGTATGGAAAACTCAAAAACATGCGGTGAACTTACTTCTGCCCTGAGAGGTACAATGCCGACTATATTGATATGCTTGACTATATGTCTCGCTTGCGTCCTTGCCAACGAATTACTGCACATGGTAACACCATATCGTTGATACCCTTCTCGCCACAGATGGACAGTGAGGACGATACAATAGCTGACCCAACAGTCCAATCCAAAGGTCATATGGCATCCAGCTCGACTTTACCTCAATGCAGCGTGAGCCACTTGTAATCAACATCGACGCAACATGTCATTGTGCTTCTGGTTAGGCCCCATGAAACAAAGCCACCCGCCGCAGTCTGTCATCGCGACCGCCATCATCGCTACATTCTATCTATCTACATAACAAATTAAGAAAAATTCTCTGGCGCCAGATGTCAGTGTACAACAACAGAGGTAGAGTAATTTAACTCTGTCCTCTCCGCGTCTCTCCAAACTGAAGATCGACATGTGCATCCCTTTCTCAACAACATACTGGCAAAATAAGAGCCAATCATATCAGGGGTCTGAATGAATGGATATTTCACCCAATGTAACTGCAGTTCTGATTGAGATTTAACTCTAACATAGTTACCAACAAAATAATGATGTGTCCGGACGGCAGGCTCACCCACGCCTGAACCCAAGTGTGATCCGAAGCCGAACATGGCAACGACAATACAAACCATACAATTTGCGACTGATCAAAAGAACGACTCTACACCGCTGTGTCGTTTGCAAGTAGATTCGTCATTTACACCACTACCGAACCATGGACACATGCACACAAATTGAAGGGTTACATCCAGAAGCAATGAATGACCTTCAACTTCCGCGATATCACCTTTGTACTACCGACCCACTTGCAATCTAAACTGGCGGTCCCGCGTGCTGAAATCCCTGAGAAAACTGCCATTATTTCTGGCTTGGTGCTCGTTCCGAATGTCAGGGATATAGGGGAACCAGCAAGATCTACAACAGGATAGACAATATATTGCTTGGTCGTTGTGTCTTAAAAGACTATAGCCCAACGATCCTTGTTGACAGTAATGATTATATATGTCATCATGTCTGGCCTCTTGACTGGCTGCGGCTGCTGGCTGACTTTCCAATGAACCGGTGTTTTCTCTCTAAAAATTAGAGAGTCTCGAACCAAAGAGAAAGAGGTGGCAGTATCGGCACGGTGTGCTCTGGCTATACACCTCTCTTCATATAGACCTACATCTCAAAAGCTATGTCAGTATCTTCCTCAAAGGAATGACTAAACAGCATTTTCACCAACGACAAGTCTTTTGCAAATGGCGCCATGTGCAGTCAATAGATCTGCCTACTGTCTACCTAGCTACCTACCTACACATACAGAATATCTGAAGAATATTGACTTGGTCGGTCAGTGACAGCAATCCTCACCATCCGTCAAGCTGGCCCTTTCTCGAAGATAGAGAACCAGATCACACCGGAACAAACATCCATTGGAACCACTTACGATGCCTCCTCCCTTCTGACGCTTAGCTTCGGACATCACCGCATCAGCTGGGAAAGGGAGGGGATGGCGGCTGTACCAGTATGCCCTATGTGATGCTCCATCTAGATAAGCCAAATCATTACTTTTATGCGCTTTAACCAATGCTCATGGCTCAACACCGTTGCGAAACTGACAATATGGAGAAGAACTATGCCAGTACGTTCTATCCGGGATGGCATCTACCTCTTGCTGAAGGAGATTCTTCTCATCAACACCCCATTGATTGGACTTCCACTCCCCAATGTACTACATTCGCAAAATGTCCAGCCATCTTGGATATACAAATTCCCGTTCTCGCCATTGGTGTTTCTGGTCCGCGAGTTGCTGAACACTGCACAATATCCGGGCTGCTTATCTAGTATATAGGATATCAGAAGAAGCCCACCAATGTCAAAATGATTTTGGATGAAAGGAGTATACGAAGTGGAGTGAACAATCGCCTACCAAAAGAAGGTGGCGTCTCTGTTTCATATAGGATACGGCTTGCTTTTGAAGCAGGAAGAAACATACATACCGCCTGCCTGCCATTTCACGGATGTAATGCTCGTCCGGCACCGAAACATCCAAAGTAAGAAGAAGAGGGTGAACACTACTAGGTAACACCATCTTACCTTATAAGGAATAGACCTTACCCTTCTCGGGTAGGCGGAGGGTATGACCTAAGATGAGTGAGCAAAGGCCAGCCGGTGTGGAGGCAGCCTGCATGCCTGGCCAGTATGGCGGTAGCTGTCCCTCATATAGAATAGATACCACCCACTATGATGGTTCTGGAGTGACCGGGAACTATTAGCTCAAGGTTACTGATGGTTATTAATGGAAGAAGATCTAACCATTATCAACATTCCGGATAGCTATGATTCTTGCTTTCTTGGTCTGGGGCTGTATATATTCTACTGATATGGTCTAGTCTCATGATTGCTGCTGGTTGCTTGGTTAGGAGAAAGTGTGTTGCTTGCGATATTATGGGGTTGTGAATCTGGTACCTACGGTAGCGTAGCGTGTCATTAGGTGGTTTCCAGCTCGGTCGATTGATTATCTGAAGAGATTGTCACGAGGTGCTATGAGTCCCAAAGTAATGGCACAGAGCTTGAAGCTTTTGCTTGTGTATTTTCTTGTAATCACCTGACATACGAATTGCCAAATGAAGGACACACAAATGACGATGGTTTGTGCTTGTAATATACTATTTTTGATTTAAGATAAAGGCTGAATCTAAACCTCGTCACTACGCGGGAAAGATATACTGAAAGACAACTCATCCTTCAAACAGTTCCGGTGTGCAAACGACATAGTTGAGGTCATAATGATAGAAAAATTCGGAAGTCAGTGTCTGCCAAGGAAGGTAAGTATTTAAAACCTAACGAACGAAAATAAAGCTAAGAGAATCGCACATTAAAACAATTTAACGAACATAACAAAATGGAGGACCCTAATGCATACTGGCCAGATATTGATATCGATCCGTACCCAAATCCATCATATAAGTGGGTACCATTCTGCTATATCTGTTGCAGTGGGTTTACCACTGTCCCAGGAGACCACTCCCTTGGCCGGGATACTTACTCTAGGCCGAATGCCTCTGAAATCACATACACGGCTCACGAGTTAGAAGACCTTCATGCCCTTACATATCCTGGCTGGCGAACCCTCTTTCGGCTGAGTATGTTCTAATATCTCTCTGCTGGTTAGAAAAATGACTTCTCATGCTGATATTGTATTTTTTACCCAGTTATGTATGACCCTAAATCGCGAAGCTATAAACTCTCTGGAATTTCTCAGAATTTCTATCCATGGCGCAAGTTCCACGCTCCGTGGAATGAAAATGATGGGCTTATAAGTGTCGGGAACTACAAGAGAATTTGGCGGCAGAGACTAGCGGCACCTAAGCTAGTACAATGTAAGGAAAATATCGAGAAACAGTCGAGTCTTGCTGGGTATTTGGTTCACGCTAGATGTTGGAGGGAATTTCTTCGAGTTAATAACTGGCATCACCTTACGAAGGAGAGTTTAGGCATCGTGTCTCGCGCGCTGCGAATGCGCTGTTTGAAGGAATGCTTATATATCTATTATGATGACCCTGTAGAGTCATTCCTAATAATGGAACCTAGAGGTAAGTTTTTCATACACTCTCATACACTCTCATCTATCTGCTTGGTAGGAATGATGAAATAACACATGAGATATAACAGATCCCATGGGAATGACGTCAGTTCGGCGATTTGTCACTCGATGCAGGAATAGAGCTAAATATAAAGCGAGCAATATATCATGCTCTATCGATTCATGGCTTATTCGTCTTCCAATGGAGTTACAATATATGGTCATGGATTATCTTTCTTATGAGGATGTCTGCTCAGTCCTGGAAGGAATTCAATGGACAGTTGACAAAGGGTATTGGAAGCTACGGCTCAATCTCAATCTATTCAGTGAGATACAGAGTATCTTACACGAAGATTTAGATTGGCGGTGGCTTTGCTTGAAGTTGGAGGTTCTTGAACATAGCCAGGCTGGGGTGGACAGAAAGCGTTTCTTCACATTGCTGGAGGAAATAGCGGCTCAATATGGCTTAACAGAGACAATCAAGTGAGGCGGGTTGTAAAGCATGTGAAAGAGAAGTGAAGGATATGTGAGTGAAAATGAAAACAAGCAGCAATCTCATTTCAGTAGATCGGTGTGTCTCTATCCTACAAACTACCTAAGCATTAAACATTAATAATAAACATCACCCACGAACATGTCCCATAATCACGGCATCTCCAATTTCAACATCCAAAAGCACAAAGACCATAAAAGACAACACTAACGCATATAGCCAACAACTAAAGAGGAACCCACGGCCCTCCAACAGGCGTGCTGGGCGACCTCAACAAAACCCCCATATTCTCCTCCTCTGCCAAAACGGCCTCAATATCCCTGGCCCGCATGAGATTCCACCAGCGCTGAAATTCTTCCCTGAAACACTCAGGATCATACAACGGCCCAAACATAACCGGCTGAGGGTCATCATCCGGACCATTGCCAAACCCAGTGGTTGTCATCCGAGCAAGCGTCAGTCTCCACCACCTGGTTTGTTCCGACCAAGCACCGAAGTTGATCCTGAGAACCAACAACGTTTCAATATATCGAGCCGGCTTTGCCATTATGACCGGGGCAATGTCCTGCGGAAAGCGGCCGAAGTTCGGCTGTCCATGCTGATAGCCCGTCAAGGGTAGTCGGCCGTCATTGCTCAACATGTAGGACAGATTTGTCGGTCGAGGGATTCCAGTCGGAATTGGAGGATTGCCTGGGAAGTACCACCGCTTGGAGTAAAGGCATATGTTTATGTGGGGTATCTCTCCTTGTTCTGCTGCTGCTGGTCCTTGAGCACCAGAGCGTTGTGAAGCTTGGGATGGCGTCATGGTAATCTCAGGGTGGGTGTAGACGTGAAAGCGGTGGACAGGCGTCGGGCGGCCTGATTCACGGGTCGTGGCAGTGGCTGAGGCGCAGCGTAGGAAGTAAGGGTATTCATGGACATATTCGTAATTGCGGAAAAAGTTGGCCGCTCGTGTCAAATGCTCGTCTTCGAGTATGAGATCGAGGTTCTGTAGGAAGTTAGCAGATAGAGGGGAAGGTTGAGGAGGGTATGTACTTGTGCTATGCTGTGGTATCCCATAGCCCTCATCGCTAGATCACCCCATAGTAGACATGGAATACCCTCGGCTTTGAGCACAGAGCTGATGGATGAAGCGAATCTGTAGGAGACAATCGGGGTTTGTGGGCCCTCGAACAGGAACTGATACATGGATTGTTGTCCTGTCATGGTGGTACACATACGACGGTATAGGAATTGAGATATGGATGTTCTGAAAAGATAGTGACAAAAGATGCCAATTAGGAGAGGTGTAGTAGGGACGTCAGGAAAATAGAGGGACATGTGGTAGAAGGATATTGTAAAGGATGTGGTAGCATGTCAGGTCTTCATAGTTCCTGCCTGATGAATATTGAATCACACGCCGGGCACAGGGAAAGGGCTGTGACATTGTGTTGCCAGTCTACGTAAATAATTACAAGTTCTTTCCAGTTCAAGTACAGTGCGTACTACCGAGTCTGTCAACTACAAGTGTAGAGAGATTCACATACAGTATTCTCCTCGAAGAAATCCAATAAAAGCAAGATGTGCGATTTAGAGACACATAACTATGTATCTAGAGCTATTCGTCTGTATCCACCGCCCTATCGGACTCGGACATTCGAAAGGGTCCCGCCTCATCATCTGTCGAATACGGGGCACGGGGTGATATGCTGGTTCTATTTTCCGGAGGATTTTCTTGTCCCCAATGGCTGTCGAGAGGAATGGGCTCTGGTTCACCGGACACTCCCATCTCGAGTCTTATCTCTTTTTCCAATTCATCCAGCAGTTTTGAGGAAGGTATGCTAGTATATTCCCCAGTCCTGCATGTTTCCCACCATCGTCGGCATGTCTCGCTGAGGGTTCTTTGTTTTGCGTCCAAGTCAAATAGATCGCCATACGGAGCTACGTAAAGGTATGTCTTGAAATGTTCTTCCAAATACTCCTCCCACCATATTTCGTTTGTCTTGAAATGCTCGTTTCGCACCTTCAGGTAAACCAGGGCCTCAGCGAACCGAGCAGGCGTGGGCAGAACCAGGGGATTCTTAGTGGGCGGATAATCCTTAACATTGGGTCGGTGAACTCCCTCCTCGCGGAGCCTGCGGTCTAACGTTAGCATAAAGCTTTCGTCCGCCTCGTTGGCCTCCGTCTGCATAGTGAACTTGGGAAGTTTCCAGTACACATTGGATTTGCAGTGGAGTCTTAGATCGTGATGCAGTTGAGGACCTTTCTTCACACCAGCTTTCTCCTCCAATCGGGTATGAGAGAATGAATCGAACAAGTGGAAAACGTGAACCGGCTTGAGCTCATTGACAGGGCAGGCTCCTCCGTTGTAGGGACACCCTGGGTAGTTGTCATCGTCTTTGAACCCAGCCTTGCGCAAGGTTTCAATGGCGTCTTCCACCTGTTCGTCCTCAACAACCAGGTCTACTGAGATCGGTATCTGTCAAATTGATAAGCACGAGGTTATATACAGAATAACGCGATAAATGTACTAGACGTACGCTACTATCATTGATTTCATGTTCGAAAATATATCTTATCATGATACCCCACAGCACACAGGGGATTGGAGGATCGGCTTCCTTGAGAATGTTACTTGCGTCCGATGCTATGATGAATGGAAGTGTTTGCCATGATACTCTTCCCCGTGATACTCATAGGATGTTATCGTGTATTGGCCTGGTGGTCGATGTTCCTCGGTTGTGTCATCCTCGCTCGTACGTGAATGAAGAAGGGACGACGCTTCGTTATCCGCTTCATTATCCGCGTCATTGTCCGCATCGAATGCAACTGATGTTGGTTGATGGGATGGATGATCTTCCGTGAAAAAGATAGACGAGGGAGACATTTCATTGGAGTCCCAACTAGTGGCCGAAGGTTTATCGTCCATTGCGAATCAAGGTGAAGGACTGTAATCGAAAGGCTAGTCCGTTGTGTGACACACCGATGATAATGAAAGGTTTTATACCATGTGTATCCCCTCTGCCTTTTATAGTTGAAGATAGTGCTGCATTCATACTGGATATTATCTTGGACTTCAAGGAACATTGCGTCTCAGCAGCATTAGTTCTGGGAATGTCCTGCTTCTGCACGGCGAGAGCCATCTCGTCTCTGGCATGAGATGGAGTCTGCTTGGATCATTTCGCAGTGAGATAATATAGCCTGGGTCATTCCGATGTCCTGTAAAGGTCAGGTATAGTAGTAAACTCTCCTGCGGAGGACTGGTAGGAAGGAGTGGCTTGATGGGGTTCATTGGGATGCATAAGCTAGTAATATCGAGTAAGGATACATGAAGGGTACAACCGATACTAGCATTGGCTTATCTACAGATGTAAGTATGCAGAACCACTTACGATGTTGTGATGGTGTCACCTGATGCAGCGCAGTGCTCCTCTTTACCTGGCAATCGCATCGCTCGACGAATTCAACATGTGACTTCAAGTCATGGGAAGGAGGTGATAGGAGAAACTATAAGAGACAGCAAAAGCTACTTGACGACGATGCATTAATCCAAGCCGTTTATTATATACTAAGTACTTTTGTCATGTACATGCACACATCTCTTTTCATAATAATTACATTCCAGACATTTGGATCTCAGACCACATCATGCAGTATTGTCATCAGCAGTTGCCATGCTCCAAAGGAAATCTCAGTTTAAGCATGGAACTTCTTACCGCCGCCAGCGTGGGACGGCTTAAGAAGGGTCAACGAGTCACCAACAGTGCCATCATCGCCACGGATCAACTCCCACTTGAGAGCAGTCTCGTTGAAGATGGTCAGCTTGCTGAAGCCGTAGTGGACCTTGTCCAGCAGGGCGGTGATGTTGGTCAGACCCTCGCCATCACTGAATTCGCTGTGGCTCTCAATGTTGCCGGCCATGCCGTTGATGATATGGGTGATGGACTTGCCGTTATGGGCATAGTAGGTGTTGTTGTTGACGATGGCGGCGGTATCGATGGTACCGTTGGCTCCCAGAGGATAGAGACGCTCGTACCAGTGGATGTGGCTGATTTCGTTAGCGGGTAATGCGGACTCTTGTTGCACGGGTAGACTCACCCAGAAAGGTAGGCGTCAACGCCATACTTGAGGAGTAGACCCTCGAACGCCTCGCGCACGTGCAGCTGGTACGAGGAGTAGGCAGAACTGTACATAGGACGGTGGCTCATGACAATCACCCATGGGGTCTTGCTGCGATCGACCTTGGCCAGGTCCTGCTGCAGCCAGTGCCACTGCTCATAGGACTTGGTCTCGTGGACACTGCCGTTGACATTGCCGAACGGACCACTGTCGGTGATAAAGGTCTCGCTTTCACTGGGCAAGGTCTCGTTGCCGGTCACATCCTCGGCAAAGTTCCACTCAGGGCTGTTGGCGAAGTCGGTCTCGCCATCAATGGAGACGAAGTGAGCAAGACCGTAGTCGAATGAGTACCAGAAGTTACCGACACCACCGGTCTCGGGACCAGGCATGCGGAAGCGGTGCTGGTAAGCGGTGAAGTTTCTGCAACAATTAGCCACTACACCTCAGGACTAGGAGAAGGAATATTTACCTCTGGGAAGGCGGGCAGCTGTAGTAGTTCAGGTTATCAGTGGGAGCAGTGCCGTTGGCGATGTCATCGTTCAGGTAAGCAGTGAGGATATTGTGAGGACCGTCAAACTCGGCGCACGAGGCTTCATGGTTACCCGGCAAGACCATGTAGGGAATCTTCAGAGTGACGTTGTTGAGCCACTGTTGCCAGAGATCCCAGTTGGACTCATACAGCACGCTCATATCACCACCTTGCGGGCCACCTTGGTCGGGGATTTCGCCCGCGGGCAAGGGCTTCTTGTACTCCTCTGGCAGAGGGCCACCGCCGGGAAGTGTAGAACTGGTGCCGTTGTAGCAGACCGGCCAGTCGTCGGCACAAGCAAGGATACCCGAGTACCAGTCATCGGCGTAACTGAGGTCACCACCGTGCCAGGCGAAGGCAGTTCCTT